AGGAAAACGTGGATTCATGTTGTTCGTGTTACACTTGAAAAGGCTGGCCCTGCGTTCATTAAATGGGGTCAATGGGCTGCAACCAGACCAGATCTCTTCCCTAGGGATCTCTGTAGTGAACTTGCAGAATTTCAGACCAAAGCACCATCACATAAATTTACCTATAGCAGAAAATGTATTGAAAAGGCATTTGGTCGCAAGTTGACAGAAATATTTGAAAATTTTGACGAGGAACCAGTAGCATCGGGTAGCATTGCTCAAGTTCATCGAGCTACACTAAACTACAAATACCCGGGTAAGAAAATCAAACCTGTTGTTGTAGCAGTGAAGGTCCGACATCCAGGGGTTTCTGAAGCTATTAGGAGGGATTTTACCATCATCAATTTTGTTGCCAAGATTTTCACTCTCTTACCTAATTTGAAGTGGTTGAGACTAGATGAAAGTGTACAGCAGTTTGCTGTTTTTATGATGTCTCAAGTTGATCTTTCAAGGGAAGCAGCTCATCTTAGCCGCTTTATCTATAATTTCCGGAGATGGAAGGATGTTTCATTCCCAGTGCCTCTGTACCCTCTTGTGCACCCATCTGTTTTGGTGGAGACATATGAACAAGGCGAAAGTGTTCTGCACTACATTGATGAGCTTAAAGGACATGAGCATTTCAAAAGTTCCCTAGCTCATATTGGAACACATGCTCTTCTAAAGATGCTTTTGGTAAAATTTCTGAATTCTCTTGTGATTTATTTTGTTTCTCTCCTTAGTAATGTTGGTGTAGATTTTGTTTATCAGATTATGTTGATAGTGTTGCCTAGTTCATGAGCGATGGAAAGATAATATGATATCTCACCTAAACTTAATCCAGTTGATCAAGAGTGCAAATACATATTTGAGAGGGAGTGTGTTTTTTAAATGAAAGAAGTCCAAAATTTATATATTTAACAAACAGCTTCCTAATCTCTCTAATACTGGTTACAAGATACAATCTTATATGTTGTGTATGCTTGTCGTTGGACAATGTCATAATATGATATATAATATTATATATTATATGGATAACAGATAACTTATCTACCCAAAAAACAAAAGCAAAAAAAAGCAGTAAGATTGAAAAGAAAAGAAACCTTACATTGAACTGAACTCTTGTTAATATTCTAAAATTCCTCCTTGCAATATTTTATTTGTTGGCTCTTTAGGAAAAGAGCACAAAGTTGCAAGAGATGAAATGATGAATTCTTCAAATATTTTTGACAGAAGAAGAATCAAGATCTTCATGAATGTTGGGAAATTCTATACACATCCAGCCAACCTTTACTCACTTCCAAACGGATGACCTGTATGTCTGTGTAAATAGCCTGATGGATAGGCTATCCCTTCTGGGTGTGAGTAATGGTTTTATGGGTGTGTATAGAATTCCACTTGAATATTTTGTTAAAAATAATACCAAATGCATGTGATAAAGTGTCATAGAGATCTAGAATGATTCTCCCTTTTCCATGTAGTTACAAGTTGCCATTGATAATTTGTTATCGTGTGGCCAACTACACATTTGAGTGAAATAATCAACTGCCTTAACATAGACATATCTCTTCTTCTAGGTGGATAATTTTATACATGCAGATATGCATCCTGGAAATATTCTTGTCCGTGTAGCAAAAAGCAAGTCATCACCTATACAGCTCTTCAAGTCAAGGCCTCATGTCATTTTGCTTGATGTAGGCATGACTACTGAGCTTTCGAAGAGGGAACAAGAAAATTTACTCAATTTCTTTAAGGCTGTTGCACTTCAAGATGGCCACACTGCTGCAGAGTGCGCACTTAAATTATCAAAACGACAGAAGTGCCCAGACCCGAAATCTTTCATTGAGGTAAAGAATTAAGGTTTTGTGTTTTCCATGTATGTTTTGTATTAACATCCTGATAAATTTTTAACATATAACCTGCTTAACATTGTTTTTCATTTATAACCTGATAACTTAGTAAGAGGGTATAATATCCCTTCTTTCGTCCTCTTAAGTCATTTAAGTTGTAACCTATGTATCATATACTTATTTCAGCATTAGACTATACTTATTTCCTGCATTTAACAGGAGGTTGATAAATCATTTAAGTTCTGGCGGTCCTCAGAAGGTGAAACTGTCCACACAGCTGATCGTATTCAACAATTGCTTGAGCATGTAAGGCGCCATAAAGTGAACATAGATAGCAGTGTTTGTGCTGTGATGGTGACCACATTGGTTCTGGAGGTAAGTTCTGCCTCTAGATCACTTTTTTAAGAAATGAAACAAATGTTGATAGCATGAGTAATGTTTAGCTTTTCTACATTGCTATTGGTATATAAGGTTGAAAGTTCATCTTACTTTTTTTATGGTCTTGACTTAGTGCTAATCAGTATATATATTCTTTTCAAAGTTTATATAACTGATTATTTCAGAATGAAAAATGGAATGTTCGTTTAGAAATTCAAAACTGTACATTCCAACCTCGGGTAAACTATTATTGTGTCTCATCCTTCTTCCCTATGTTCTGAGCAGTAGAGTTGGACTGTGTGTGGTGTTTAGATCAATTTGAAGATGGAGCTTCCTATACTCACCTTCTTGGCATGACATGCTTAGAATGCTTTGTTGTTTCTTTAGAATCATTTTGGATAAAGATGGAAACTGAAATCTGAAACTTAAACCACCAATCCCTTGTGCTTTTTTTGCCTTAGAACAAAAGAATGGAGTCTTAAAGCTTTCTTGGGTCTGCTTTTTCCGCATTTAATCGGATTCAGACTATCTTCCTTTTTTTGATTCACTTTTTTCATTAAAGCTTCTATTGGTCTTCTTCTCGCCAAACCATCTCATGCAAGTTTTTTGCATATTCTCCATTTCAGAATATGACAGGAAGTATAAAGCATGAAAAACTAAGAACATAATTTCCTTACTTTCATTTATCAAAACATGAACAATTAGATGAGATGCATTTAAGATTTTACAAGCAAATTGATCATGTACAGGCTCTAGTGTATCTATGATTAGATACTCAAAGCAATGTTTATTGAATTTTAGATGATGTATGCAGGACATGCATGAAGTTATTCTGCTTTTCCAAAGTATTATTACCTTGAAGGCCTTGTGTGCTATGAACTGCAAATTTTCTATGTTTTGATTAAATATGAATTAACTCCTTTTGCAAATTGCATTTTGTTTGTGTCTCATTTTTTAGGGGTGGCAGCGGAGACTTGATCCAGAATATGATGTGCTGCACACTTTGCAAACGCTACTATTTAAAGCTGAGTGGGAAGAATCTCCTTCTTATGTCATTGGAGGACCAGTGGCTCCATTTTGAAGATGTTTGTGAAGGAGAAGGATAAATTGTAAATCACTTAGCTATAGCTGATGTTCTTCTAAATGTCAATGCCTTGTTTTTGCTGTTCTTAATGGGTTTTCTAATAACGTGGTGAGGAATAAGCATTGTGAAGTTTTTGTAAGTAAGTTCTGATTCCAAATATAACAGCATGCAGGAAGTGATGTGAATAAGCATTCATTGATGTTTTGTGAAAAAAAGTATATACAACTAGGAACTTTGGGAGTTATTACAAGTAACTACTATCAGCTAAAGAATCTTCCATCTGAACCCTGACATTGAGACATTATGAGAATAATACGACAATTTAATAGACTACTAAGAACATTAACCATAGATCTTCTTGACATAATAAGAACATTTTTAATCTGTTCTTCGGTGTCATTTTTTATTTTATGAATTTCATTCTTAAATAAGAACAATTAGAGAGAAATAAGAACAAGGAGAGAGAACGAAAAAAATAGATGTTTGGTTAAGAATGAGGTAGGTTTTGGGATTCAAACAGGAATATGAATGATGTTTGTTATTACTAGGAAAAAATAGATGTTCTTATTTCATGGTAACTATTCTGATTACTAAAATCATGATATATGTCTTATTTAATTATTTTATATAAAAATATTTTTAAAAAATAAAAATAAAATAATATGATTTTAGTACTTGAAAGAGATAACTTATTTTCTAATATGAAGAAATATTTATTGTATTTAAAGTATAAATATTTAAATTAAGATAAGATTTAAGATACTCATTAACTAATTCTTGTTCCAATTTAGAAAAAAACACACATCCAAATTAATATCCCAAAAGTAAAATTACTTTCCTAATTAGAAAATACAGGTAAACATATAAAAAAATAAAAAAAGAAGGAATCAAATCTCCAATCTACTATCTTATTAAGAATACAATAGGCTCATGTAATTAATATAATAGACCTCTTACATTAGTGACACTTGAATTATAAATAGGCATATTTGTCATTATACTTACTTCTGTTTTTTTAAAAACAAACAAAAAAACTTTCATGTTTACATTATAATTACTTATGTGTATAACTCTTTAATATTGTCTTCTATATGGGTTAGGTGATTCTGTCATTTTACATCCACTTATTATAATTTTTTAATGGTTTGCTGCACCACAATTATTACTATGACAGGTTTTTATGAAAAGAGATTGAATATTTATGTTGTAAACATTTTTATTAGATATATTTTTTTCATTGCATATGGGGAATCGTTTGGTTTTTCAAACTTTTTAATATGTGGGCGTGCAATTACCATTGTGGGCATTTAATAGATAGTGAGATTAATTTGAATTCAGACTTATAAAAGTAGTTTCATATTCCACTCTAATGCATATCCCCACACTCACGTGTATACCCACTCTCTCTAAGTGAGTGGTACTTCATTTCTCACTTTTGTATAACCCTTCATTTCTCTCTTCACACCCATCTTTCTCCTTCACATTTCTTCTTTCTCATTTCTCATAGTATCACCCATTCATTAACCTCTTCTCACTATCATCTGAAGTCATTATTGTTTTTAACTTTTGATTCTTAAAATGCCAAAGCTCATCTTTCCCGTTTCTGCCCAAAGTGTTCCAAGTGAAATGGAGATTCACAGTCTTTTCATGGTTGAAAACGACATGGGGGTCCTGTTGATGTGAAATGAGGGTTTTAACGCTTTACTTCGGCTTTCAGGTTATATTTTAAATCTTTTTGTGAAAAATGTTACCTTTGCAACTTTATCTAGGTTTCCAGATTGAATACTTTTTCATTTTTTCTTAAAGATGATGCCTTTTTTATTTTCGCTTGCTTAAGACCAGTTTTGAGGTCACTACAAAATTCAAGTTTTGTTAAAAATACGACCTTTTGTACTTTATGTGAGGTTTGTCTTTATATTTTCTGTATTTTTTGGTGAAGATGAGTTCTATAATATTTTCTCTTAGTTACCTGTTTATGTTTTTTCTTTTCAAACCATTAAAAATGGGATCTTTACTACTTTCTTTGGCTTAACATCACTTTTAGGTCGTCATTGAATATTTTGAAATATGTTAAACTTTATTTGCTGGAAAACCTGTTTCAGTTCACTATTGATCTAATTTTTCTCTTAAAGATGTAGCCTTTACTATTGATCTCAGTTTTTTCTTAAAGATAGAGCATGTGCTATTAATCTTAAACTGTTAAAAATGAAGTCTTTATTGATTTCTTTGGTTTAACACCACTTTTAGGTCACTGAACTGAATATTTTGAAATATGTTCAGGTTTATTTGCTTGAAAACATCTTTCAGTTCGCTATTGATCTTATTTTTTCTTAAAGACATAACATTTACTATTGATATCATTTTTTCTTAAAGGTGTTGTTGTCTGTACTATTAATCTTAAACTGTTATATTGAAGTTTTTATTGCTTTCTTTGGCTTAACACCCTTTTTAGGTCATTACTGAATATTTTGAAATATGTTCATGTTTCTTTGGCTCAAAACCTCTTCCATTTCACAATGGATCTGATTTTTTTCCGTAAAGAAATAGCATTTACTATTGATCTCATTTCCCCCTTAAAGTTGTAGTCTTTACTATTAATCTTAAACTATTAAAAATGAGGTATTTCTTGATTTTTTTGGCTTAACACCACTTTTAGGTCACCATTGAACTGAATATTTTGAAAATGTTCAGGTTTATTTGGTTGAAACCCACTTTCAGTTCACTATCATTTACTATTGATCTCATTTTTTCTTAAAGATGTAGCCTTTATTATTAATCTTAAATTGTTAAAAATGCGGTCTTTATTGCTTTCTTTGGCTAACACCACTATTAGGTCTCTAATGAACTGAATATTTTTAAATATGTTCAGTTCTATTTGTCATAAAACCACTTTCATTTCACTAATGTATTTGATTTTTCTAAAAAATATAGAATTCACCACTCTTCTGAAAGTTTGTTTTTTAAATCTCAAAGTTTACTTGGTTTCCCATCATATTAGTTAAGTCCAGAATTGATCTGATTTGTTTCTTCTTTTCAAGATGTAGCTTTTAATATTGATCTGATTTTTTCCTTTTAGATGTAGCTTTTACTGTTTATCTTGAAAATGATTTATATCTTACAAAATCGTATGCATTATGTGATAATGTCATTTCTATTGTGTTTCATGTCATTTCTATTGTGTTTAATGTCATTAATTTTTTGATGTGTAAAGATTTGTATATTTATTTAGGTGTATATTTATTTATGTGTATATTTTGTTGTACATTTTTGTTTTTTATTCTATTGTATTTAAGACTTTTAATTTAACTAGAAAATTCATTCAAGATCTCAAATATATTTGTTCCATGATTCTCATAGATTGAATGTAAAAACTTATTGTAACCCTTTAAGCATTCAAGACCACAATTTGACCTTCAATTTAGATTAGCCGTGCAACAAGCGTATGGTTTGTCATAATTCATATTATGCATTACCATTAAAATATTAAAATGTTTCTTAATCAATATACATACTCTATATTTTTAGAGACAATGGTCACAATGCATGCATTTCATTAAGCAACATTATAGTGCATCTATTACGTTATATAATATTAAAGTCCACAATTAAATTTATATTGATTAAGAAATACCTCATTTTTAATAGTTTAAGCAACATTATAGTGCATCTATTACATTAAATTTGTAACATTAGAATTATATTAGTATAATAAAATAATTTCATAAGAGTAGAATTGTAAAAAGAGCTAACCTTAGAATAGTAACCAACAGATTTATAAATTTTAAAATATACATGTTATTTTAAATTTTCCTCTATTAGTTTTGAAAGTGACCTAATGTATTTTTAGTTAAGAAATGATTTGATATTTTACACTTAAAATGACTAATTTAAATATTAATATAATTTCAATCTTTGTTATTTATGATTCATTAATTTTAAATAATGTTCATTATAAATACAAATTTATATTTATTTACTCTTTGATTCTAAAATAAGTAATAAGAAATGTTTATAAATCCTAACAAATATTTATTATGAGTTATAAACATTGAATCATAGTAACAAATATGTATTATGAGTTATAAACATTCAATCATAGTAACAAATATTTATTACAATGTTACTATTTCTGTATTCAATTAGTTACAATAATAGGTGTAACTTAAAAAGAATATTAATATATTTCTATTATTAATATTTAAAATTAGTTATTAAGAATATTAAAAAAAATTATTTGTTTTTGGTTATTTTAGAGTCAAATAACAAAAATGTGTATTTAGAAATTAATCTATTTTTATTGTCAAATAATGAATTTTAAATTCATTGATGATGTTTTAATTATTTTAATAATGATGCGTTCCTTAATACTTTATAATGTCTCATTCCATTCATCTTCAAATACTACAGTACAAAATATTACAAGGTCTTTTTCTATCCCTATCCTATAACTTAATTCAACCACTAGGAATAGAGAGGTAACCATCAGAAAATAACTAATCAAATATTATTACAATTTCAATCATAGTTATTTTAGATTTTTAAATTTTAGGCAATGCTCATTATAAATATATGTTTATAATTATTTGTCGTTTAATTCAAAAATAACTAATAACAAAAATATATATATATATATATATAACTCATAAATAATATGCATTCTAAATAATAGAAATGGAACTTCAATAAAATAAACTAAATTAAAACATTGAAAATGTTAAGTTAAATATGTATATTATAAAAGCTACTACTTATATTATAAAAATAATATAAACAATAACAATAACTTCCATATCTAAATATTGATTTTTAAAAAATTATTGATATTAAAATTAATTTTAAATGTTCATATTTATGATTATATCAATTCATAATAATATAAATGTCAAAGATATAGTACCAAAAGTAATGAGCCTTAATCTAAAATAAAGATAATAATAATAATATTATTTTTAATAAAGTTACTTAATAATGGAATTGTGATAAAGATAATAATATTGTATTCATTGAGGATAATATTCTTTCCAATAGTAGAAATGAAACTTCAATTATTTTGAATGTATTTTTTTGTAATAAAACATATAAAAAATCACAATGTATCATTGGCCCAATGACTCTTATAGAAAAACAATATTCTTTGCTTGAGAAAAAAACCATATCTTTTATTTTATTTTATTTAAGTGTGATAATAAAATTGATTCTTTTACATTTATTCTATTAAAATCAATCATATGAGATAACAAGTTGTATGCTATGTAAGACATATTTGATTAATATTTTGTTTGAATTATTTTTTATTCCTTAATTTAGGCAATGCTCATTATGTATATATAGTTTTTAGAGTTTAGATTTAATTCTAATGTTGCAATGTTACTATTGAAGTAATAGTCCTGAAGAATGGGACATACTGCCAGATTCTCGCTTGAGCGAGAGGATCTCGCCCAAGCGAGAGGATCAGTGTTTTAAATTTGGATATTCTGGGAGTCTCGCCCAAGCGAGGAATGAGTCGCTTGAGCGAGAGAAAGCCTGTGCAGGCTGTGAGATTCTCGCTTGAGCGAGATAATCTCGTCTAGGCGAGAGAGCCCGTGTCTGGAAAATTAAAATATCGTGGGTTTCTCGCCCGGGCGAGAGTACCCAGCTATAAAAGTAAAGAGAGGGTTTCATAAACCTTAATCTTCACTTCCTTTTCTTCCCTTTCACTCCCAATGGCGACTCCCCATGGATTTCGACTCTTTCCTCCACCTAACCTCAAAAACACATCAAAACCTCTTCCTATTGCCTCTTATTGGAACATTGGAGAGGAAAAAACAACAATGAGGTTTGAAAGAAATGGAGGTAGATGAAGATCTTTGCGGATCCATGGAGCTTACGCAACCTAAGGTGAGGGAGAAGACCATTGTGGTCTTAGAGTATTTCATTAGAGTCATCATCTCCGATTTCCCTCAAGAATCGGAGCATATTAACGGATAGAAACTCTCTTGGGAGTTTGTGGTCCATGTGAGAGTCTTTATTTTACATAAGGATGTAACGATGACTGTGTGATGAGTTGTCAAGGTGTTAAAATAGATAAATGTCTGTTTCTAACAATGAAGGTGTTGTGTGTTATTTTATAGTGATAAATTAGTGAGATGCCTTGCGTTGATTGTGTATGACATGGATGTGAGTATAATGTGGAAACTCGACCTGCCTGATGTGGTATGGGGAATTACTCTACCTGTCCGATGTGGTATGGGGATTACTAGACCTGACCGATGTGGTATGAGGAATTACTCGACCTATCCGATGTGGTATGAGGATTAACTAGAGCTACCCGATGTGGTAGAGGATTATTTGTACAGTACAGAATTGTTGAAAGAGATCAATGGTAAATTACTACGGAATGTGAATGATGTAAAAAGTGTATACTCGGAATGAAAATCATATGCATGTCATAGGATATATTATGAGATATATATCTTATAGGGTGAATATGAATGATGAGAAATGAGTATGTTTGGATGAATAAAATATGCACACTATAGCACATATATATTATGGGATGTATGTGTACTATAGGGTGAATATGGATAATATGTGATGAATAAGTATGCACACTATAGCACATATATATTATGGATGAATAAATATGCGCACTATAGAACACATAAAGTATGAGATATATGTGTACTATAGGGTGAATATGGATAATATGTGTTGATTGGTATATGTTTATCATGATTGATGTTAGATGTGTGTGGTTTTAATACTTTAATGTTATTACTCCATGTAAATCCACGCTACGGTCGCCGTAGTTGGTTCTTACTCCCTCTATCTTTCCTTGTATGTGTTGCGTATTTGAATTCAGGTCGTGGCGGTAGCGCATCGGACGATTGTGGAGAAGAGTACATGGTAGAGTAGGGCTTTATATGATCGATACGTTATATGATAAATGTTTGTAATATGAAGAACGTGTTAAAGTGAAATTATGTATAGGTAAATTGCTCCTAAATGTATAAGGAGGATGATTTAATGTTTGTATTAAAAGTGTTCCTTAAGAATGGATAATTGTTTAGATTATGTATTTGAAAGGAAATGCAATAACATGCTTTTGAAAAGAAATGTATTTGGAATATTTCCGTCTTGTAATTTATAAATGTATTCACTCAAGTTTTCAAAACGTTCAGGTAATGTCTTTCAAAAGTAATCACTCCACTTTCATGAATAAGGTTTTAAAAAAAAAAGAATTTCCGGGTTATGAAAATCGGGTCCTTACACATTCTTAAAACAAGATTTGTGTTTTCTATTAATTGCAAATGATTAATTAATAATAAATCAAACAATTCACAAAAAGATAGTAAATTGATAGGCTGATATTATTTTGATTTCTTATTTATTTATATTGATGTTTAGTTTAACATCTATGTAATATTCAAGTGATTAATGAGTGATGTATTATCGATAAAGTTGGGTTGTAGCACTCAATGTTTTAGGAGATGTAGGACTTGAATTTTTTTATATCACAAAATAAATTAATTTTTGTTATTAGCGTTGGACATAATGGTGAAAATAAGATACCAAGAATACAATAATGATTAATAAAGTAAATGCATGTTACTTACTAACTAATTTAGAGTGTGTTGGAATAAGTTTTAATCGTGAGACATTAAAATTGAGGTTAAACTTCATAAAAAGTCATTGTAATTTTATTGATCTCAATTGTGTGTTCAATTTATAAGTGTTTATGTTTTAAACAAAACATGGCGGTTCGTGATTTTAATGGATATTTTAAGGTCGTAATGTATATCATTGTTTTACATATAAAAGTTGTTATTAGTCTATTTTTATTATTATTTTAGAAATAAAAATATAAAAAAGTGTGCACATTGAAGAAAATAGATATATCTATCAATAGTGCTTCAATGAATTTATTTTTAATTATCATTTTGAAAATAAAACTTACAAAATTATGCACTATGAACAAGACACCACTATAAGGACAAAAAATTTCTGCAATCTAAATCAATATTTGCATCAACAATTGAGATTGTTGGTCAAATCAATGAATATGTTCTAAATAAAATTTTAGGTGAATTTTTTAGACATCTTTACATTTTCATTATGTTCGACATAATAGATTTATTAAACTTATACTAATAAATATTCTAACGTATAACTATAGGTAAGGAAAAGGAATATGTGAGTTCAGATACGTCTGATGCTAATAAAAGCGAATCATTCAACATATATACTAATTCAAGAATTTTTAAACTCACTTACAAGTTACAACCTCTATTCTTTCCAATCATAAGATCAAGTTGAAAGTTGAAATTATAATAATGCTATTGAGGAATTTAGACCAATATAAAGGATTATGTAATGGTACAAGATTAATTATCACTAAAATGACAAATCTTGTCCTTGAACCAAAAATCATGTGAGGAAAAACATAGGAAATATCATATACGTCTACAATAAAACATATAAAAATCATCTTTTATAAGATAACCCACATAACATTTTATTAATAAATTATTCTGATATTTTTAATTAAATTTATGCAAAAATATTAATTGTTTGAAATGATAGCCAATCTAAATCAGTAATTATAATTATTTAACAATCCTCAATTTAATGATATAACAACAATAAAACATTATTCCACTAAAGTCGGCTACATAGATTGAAAAATGTTAAACATTAATATTATGTTGTTAATAATTAATAGATGTGATGTAATCTAATGTTGATTAATCAATTTTGATTAAATATATTTTCAATCATATTGTTAAGATAATAACTTTGTTTTTTTATATTTGTTTGAGTAAAATGAATTGTGTTTAATAATCAATTTAAATTATATAAATTATATTTTATAACTTCTTTCATTATTGTCTAAACAACATACATTATTATAGTAAACAAACACAATTTTATAAATTATTCGTAATTATTTTTATTATTTTCTAAATTTATGGGAACTAGCGAATTCGTTGGATACCTAAGGACCCACGATTAGTAAATTCAATGGGTACACACAGCTCGAGGATAGGACTAGGTTCATAAACAAAGTAACAAGACGAGTTCGAGTAATAAACTAACTAGAAACAAAAATATATTGTCCCAAACTATATCCTACACTAATGACAATGAAACAAAAATATATTGTCCGAAACTATGTCCTACACTAATGACAATGTAACAAAATTATATTATTCCAAACTATGTCATACACTAATGACAATGCAACAAAAACAAAAAATAATAATAAATGTTTAAATTTTTTAATTCACATGTCATATTGTGACAAGATTTGAGATATAGGTGAGATAACAAATGCTTCTTTATAATAAAAATGTATTTAAAATCCATTTCTTTCATCTAACACACGAATGGAAATTATCTGTCCCATAATTTATGTTTTATTGTGTTCCAGTCCAATAAAAAATTAACACATACTTAAATAGAAAATTAATAAAAATAAAAAGTAAATTTTTTACATTATTTGATGGGATTTGATTGGTTTGGGACAGAAAGACATAAATTTTCGGATAAAATCCTCCTTCCTAACACACTTTGCACAACAACGCGATAAAGGAGACAACGCAAGGGACACATTGTTTGCAATCTTCTATCTTGTACACTCTTCTCCATTAATGGAGAAGCAGGTACCCAAAAAAATTAAAGAAAGTGAAAGATACAATATCACTTTTGCCATTTTTATTTAAAAGATGATTACATATTTACCCTTATAATATACATAAAAAACTCACTTGCTTTTCCATTAATCTTACTCTGTACAAACCCCTTAGATATTGCATGTACCATATCACGTTTTCCTTCATTTTCTCAAACAACAAACCTAATTACCTAACCTCTCATCTCCATCTTCCTATATTTTCTACCCATTCCAACACACTCCCTCATCCTTTTTCAACCGTCAAATCCTAACTACAATCCCACTAACATCTCCCTCCTACACTCAAACATGGACTCCAACAACACTAGGTCGAAGAACAGAAGCAAAGGTTGTTTGTTTCATTGTTTCAGACCCAATGATATGAGTTATGATCCTTTTCGGACAAAACCATTACAACAAAGCAAAACCATGGATCCGCTTCTAACCTATATTGCTGTGGGGGAGAAGGAAACAGTCACGTTTCCAACCATATTGTCATCGGCTTTGAAGAGTTGCGGAGAACCAAATGAAAATCGCTTAAGGAAGAAAACCAATTATGGTTTTCTTAGGCAGACTCTGAAAGCCACTTTCAATGAGACATCATGGGTTAGTTACTTTTCCATCCACCTTTAAACTTCCATGGATAATATTACTTGTGATTCCTTGTGTTTATCTCAATTATATAAACCATCATGCAATTAATGTGCTATAACATTGTTTAATAGTAGAAACTAATGGAGAAGATTCTAACTAGTAGAAAATACCAAAATCAATATATTTAATAGTAATTGCATTAAAATTTCTCAATTTTAAATAGCATATGGCATTATGGGAACTTTCTTCTTAGGTTATTTAACTGCTTGGTCAATGCTGTTAATAAAGATTATAAAAAACAATCTATTTTATGGCATGTTTGAATAATTACTAACCCTTTTGTACCATAAATGTTGTTATAGGGGAAAAAGATTATTAATCTCAGAAGGAAAAGAAATAGGGATAACTTGTCGTTCAAATCAGTCATAAACAACTTAGAAGGAGAAGGTCATAAAATTTCAAACACAGAAAATAAAACTACCCACCAAACTAATTTAAACACTTCATCTTCTTCTATGTGTTCATCACCTGTATTCACTCAATCTTCATTAACATCTTCTACAACTACAAGCACTTCACCAGGAACTATGGCTTGGAAATCATCCTCTGAGCTATACCAACCAAAACCAGTTCTAGTGAAGGGAATTGTGGTGAAGAAACAAAAGCAAGATGAAGGGTATTACAGTTGCAACATGTCTATGTTTTTGGTATTGATTAGTCTTGTGACTTTGATTCTATGGGGTAGGATTTGTGCTACAGTATGCACTTCAATTGGGTTCTTTTTGGTGACTCCTCGCCGGAGAAAGCCACAGGCTCTATGTGGAGGAAACGTTGCCATAGCAAAAGGGTAGAGAACTTCCATAGGGAAACGGAGCTCTTTTCATAATTGTCTCTTCAACTATCCCATGTTCTTCTTCTTATTATTATTTGTATATTTTTTGTTTTCAGTTTGAAGTTGAGGAGCAAGTTTAATTCTGTAACAACTGGTTTTCCAAGTTTTCCATTCATACATTTCTTTTGTACATATAAATTCAATTATTTTGATATAAATGGTGTATTAATCATCAAACCACCTTATATTTTTTTTTCAAATTTGTTATGGGTGAGATTCAAACCCACAACCTTCTTCATTCTATTTTTCCCTTATTCGATCCTAAATATTAGTTGGGTCATTTTTTTAAAACTAGACTTGGCCATAGATTTCACTTACCTGATACTAAATATGGATCGAATCAGCCTTTAAACAGAAATCCGACCATAGGCCCAATTAAATATAATGTATAGTTATTTTAGATAAAATGTTCTTAATATATACTTATTATTATGAATATCTAATTTGACATATAAAATGATTATATGTATATATATTGTTAATCATGTATATATGATGAAATGAAAAAAATAGAGAATCATCGATACTTTCGACCAAAGTAACGTCATTATTTTATACAAAATTGAATAGAAATACATACAAACATAATAAATGGGTGATCATGTGATGAATCAGTCCAGGTCATATTTATCCTCTGCCTGACCCTAAATATTGACTGACTTTGATTTTTGAACTTCAGCTAGACTCGACCCTATATCAAACATGATCATCATATCGGAACAGGTCGAGTCAGGTCCTCCTCACCTTTAATACATAGCCTATGAAAAGTAAAAATAATTTAAGGGGAAATAAAAATAATTCCCTATTATGCTAGGGTTCAAACCTGCAGGAGCATAGCCCACATAATTTCTAATTTTGCTGGATAACCACTCCGGCACATGTATTGTATTTA